AGGTAGCCATCCTGTTCCTGGCAGACCTCTGCTCACCTCTGGCAGACCATGTGGACTTTGCAAACAAACTTTTTCCCCCATTGTGACAGTAAAGCTAAAGAAAAATCAGTCTAAACAAATAGCACTTTTAGGAGTGAATGTGTTTTTTTCCTCAGCCAATATGTGTCAAGGTACAATTGCCATTGTTTGGGAGCATTGTCATGTCCCACAGTAATGTCTCCATTCAAACAACCCAATGATGACCTAGGTAGATGATGGAACGTGGGTTTGATTGCCCCACCCGCCAGAAGAAGAGGGCACCTGTGTTTTCTAACTTTCAGGGGAGTATCTTAATCCCTGCAACACTGGATCCATAACAAGCAATCTCATTTCTGCCTATTGGTGCTAATTCATTCTGCATTTCTAATTAGCCACCAGATCAGGAATGGCCACTCAAGGACCCCTCCTCTGGATGAGCGTTGGCTCATGTTGTTGTTCACCCCTTGCACTAGAACACCTCCATCTCTGAAGCTATTCAAACGTTGCCTGGACTCTGAGCAACCTGATTGACATTGCCTGCATGCATTAAGCTCTTTGCTTTCTGCCAGCACTGAGCTGTGGTGCCTCTGGGGTGTCAGACTTGGCTCTCAACCAACTTCTGTGGCCACTGATACCTCACACAAGCATCCATACCAAGATGGATCCTTGTGGAGCTGGCAGGGAGAAGCTGTGGGGATCACACCAGTAAAGATGAGGAGCATCTATGCACAAAGTGCCCTTTGGAGAAGAGTAGAGGATGGAGGGTCACCACCGAGAAGTCACCCCACAGAGCATTCCCACACCACATCTCCATGTCCCACCTCACCGGCAGTAGAGCATGTCCCGCTCCAGCTGTGCCGAGTCCAGCAGCTCCAGCTGAGATGGCTGTGGGATGACAACCCCGACAGAGCAGGGGACCATCTGAAACTGCCACTGCACCTTGATAAATTAACACATACCAAAACCCCACTTTTTTTTTTTTTGGTAAAACTGATCTCCTTTGGGAAGCCAACAGAAGTTGATGTTCCCAGCCTGAAACGCCTAACACACCTTATCCACCGTCTTCCCATCCCTCACAGATGCAGATGGGGCACAGACCAGCTCAACTTTGATGCTGTGAGAGTTGCAAAAAGCTCCGTCAAGTTGATTTGACCATATCTACAGGAGGCAAAACTAGTTATGTTAAATAGCCTAGCCTTAACCCAGCCTCACTTATTTTATCAGCAGCTGTTTGCTAAATCTTTTGTACTTACATGAACAAAACCCTCAGCTATGCAGCACTTCCAGGATCAGACTTGAGCCCTGATCCTAAACTTTTTGTCATGCACGTTTTTAGAACAAAGTACTTTCTTTCTGCTTTGGATTTAAGCATGCCTGTTCCTCTTTCCACTTTTCTTTTTTAAAAAGAAAAGAACAGGGAAGGGGGATTTGAGGTTTAGGGTTTGGGTTTTTTGTTGTTGTTGAGAACAAGCAAAAGCAGATTTTTTTCATTCCAGCCTGGAAAATAAAGTATTTTCCTTATTTGCCTTTTCAAAAGAGCCTTTTCTTTTTATTCAAAAAACACCTTTTGTTATTCTCTAATCAGAGTGAAAAAATTTGATAGCTAATACATAACAAAGTGCTGATTAACAAAAGTTATTCTCAGCTGGTTTTTGGCTCATCTGATCTGAGCTGACTTTTCCCACATTGTTTATTTGATTACGACACGTTGGCCCTCACACTTATCAACCGAGCGTCTTTCCTTCAATATCCACAGGAAGAGAAGGTGACACTTGGGACAGTTAAACATTTGCAAGTGTCATTTCATATTTCAGAGTACTTTCAGTAGCAACAGCTCCATCTGCACTGTCTGCATCCCCAAAGATGCAGAAGAGATTTCCAAGTCAGAAATACCCCAATACCTGGCTACTGGGCAAAAACCTGCTGACCCCGAGCAGTCACCCTTTGTGTCCCAGGGCTCTGCTGTGCACCCCAAGGCTGGACCTTGCCCATAGCCCCAGGAGTTGCCAGGCACCCAGCTCTCGGTGTAACTCATATTTCTCTGCAAAGCAACCCAGCAAAAGTCAAGGAGCCTGCTCGACGGGAAGGGTATGCACGGATCTCACCTTGCACACACAAGCTCTGCTAGCTTCTTTTCTCCTTAATCCCGCAGGAAACCAATTTTGGATTTACAACATCAAAAGCTGCTTTTTACTCACAGAACAGTAGCAGCTCAATTAACCTCTGCAGGTCTCCATGTCGTGCCCTCTGGGACCAAGGTCATGAACATGACGACTTTGCGAGTTTTTTCCTGCTCTCAGGAAAAGTCAGCTACTTTGCAAAGGACCTGGGTGCGCCCTGCTCTCCTTGTGGAGATACGGAGCCTCCTCCTGTGCCTCCCACCTGCTCAGGAATTACTTGACTCCAACACTCTACTTGTACTCGAAATAAATCAACATTTAATATTTTACAATTACTTTAAAAGTTCTTTGGACAGTATTTTACAGATCAGCACACACATTACACTGATTTGGTGAGGCTGCACATATGTACAAAGATGACCTGAAAGAACCTCGGACTTCTTTCATTTCCAGAAAGCATCAGAGGTCAAAACCTTAGCCAGGCTTATGAGTCCCTAGAGTTTGTGCTTGTTTTTCCTCTCTGAGATGGAAATTCTTTTCTCTAATATTTCTGTAGGGACAGCTGAAACCAAAAAGGTTTATATCATTAACAGCGGCAGGGATATATTTGGCCATGGATATCAAGATCACAAATAGCAATGTTTTGACAGGATAAGGTGCTATTTTAAAGTATTGAACAAAAAAAACCCCAGCTGTCGAATTTCAGCCCCATTTGAGAAGACACACACAAACCTGTTTGGGAAATGAAAAGTCAGTGAGAAAAACTTTTTCCAAGTGCATGGAAAGAACTATTAAAATCTGTTTCTGATCCCTTGAGCCTATTGGACTTCAAATACTGATGTGCAGAAGTGCACAGCAGCAACCTCAGCTCATGCTCCCACATCACCCCACAGGCACCCTGTGAGAGAGGGGACAGCCCACCACGACCTGGCAGTGTCTTGGCGTCCCTGCCAAGTCTGTGCCATGAGCAAGGGATGAGCACTGCTCCACGCACATAGGAAAAGATGGGTGCTCCTGGAGTTGGTGCATGGCCGGGGAAGGTGGGTCCTTGCCAAGAGTCCAAGCTGGCTTTGCATCATGATGGAGCCGGAGCACCTGCTTATGTTCAAGTGATGCTTCATCTCGCACGAGGGTCTTTTCTTGGAGTCCACAAGGCAACACCATCCTTGGGATGGTTTATTCAAGTAGAAGGATGAAGCGCAGAGGCCTCAGGAGCATGTTCACGTATCATTTTTGCTCATCTCTGGCCATTGGCAGAAGGTGCTGAGGACACCAAAGAGCCAGCTAGCACCTTCTTAACCCACGATGTTCACCACTGGGCCCAGACCAAGCTGTCCCCAAACAACAGAGGCAGTGGGAACAGAAAGCAGGTCCAGCAGCCAGTGGGGCCAGGATCAGAGTCGACGGCACAAGAGAGATCCCCCAAACGCTTCCAGGAGGAATGTGGAGGAATCGAGCAGACAAACCTGACTCACGCTCCTCCAAGACAACCGAAGCCCTCAGGGGCTCTGGCCCTTTTCTTGGCAGATTTAACCTCAAATGCCACTGTTGCTGTGCCACCAGCCCTTAGGGAGAGAGCCCAGCCTTGTTCTAACTAGTGCTAAGGGCTGACCAGGTCCTGTTTTCTGGAGGATCGAGGGACCCACACTGAACTGACCACACTGTGGCTAAGCCCTGCAGCCCCCCAGGAGTACCACGGGTCCCTTCCAGACATTTCCAGGGAGCACATGTCCTCGGCATTGAGATCCTTTTAGCCTGCAGCAGGCAGCATGCTCTTCTGCCCGTTGTCATTAGTGCAATCACCAAAAACTACTGAGAAACAAGCTTGAGGCCTATGAAACCAGGCAAAGCTTTTCCAGTCTCATTTTTTTTGCTCATGGGGTCAGAATACCTCTAAATACCCCCAAATATTGCACCTTTCTGTACCTACAGCCTTGCAGAGAGAAGGAAGAGGGCGGAAAGCCTCTTTGCAGAGGAGGGGGAATCTCAAATCCTATCGGTGCTTGCAAGCGTCACTAGTGTTTTTGGTGCTGGGTCCTTCTCTAGAAAACCTGCCTCTTCAGGTGATCTTAAGGCAATCCTCGTGATTTCCCTAGTACTTCTCTCCCTCCTATGAGTGTGAGCATGGTTCCTGCCATATTTCAAGCAACTACTGAGGATTCAGCCTCTGGGATGTCTCTAGCATACAGTGCTGGGGAGCAGGATGTAAGAACATGGGCTGAACAGGGAGTACATCTCATGGGTGAACTCTGAAATTCTGTAGAAATTAGAAGTTCATCTCCTGCAAGTGCCGGAATTACAGTAAATACATGTATACATGACAAGCTGTTGATGCCCTGACATGGCCTATTGCACTCAATTCACTGGAATACAAGCAGCAGTCTACAACCCACGCTGGGGTCTTTCTGGGCCTCGGCTGGGTTGCTCTGCTCTGCACAGTTTCTCTGCAAGACACCCAACCTTCATCATTTAAAGAAAACTTTGAGAAAGCCTGTCCCCATCCAAAGAACTGTCCTGAGCATCCTCGACCTGTTACGGGTGAAATTCCATCAGGACATTGGTTGAGTGATCTGCCACTCCACATACATTGAAGGGCACCTACCACCAATCAGCCAGGGACATTCATTTTCCAAAATGTGCCCCCATGAGCTCCCCCCAGATCACACTGGCCTTGCAGTCACTGTCAAAAACAGCCACAGCACCATTTGCTGGCAGGAAAATAGCACTGTCCTTGCCTTGCCCTCTCAATCCAGCTGTTGGCAGCCTGTTGAACCGGGTGGAAATCTGAAGGAAATCACTTTCCTCCCATTTCTGAGGAACCTTCAGAGCTACCAGAGCACACCACCGATGTTCCCATTTCCAAGGATGGGCTAAGCCCTGACCAAGAGCAGCTCAGCCACCACACTAACGCTTCGGCTGCAGGATGTCTTGGACAAGAATGCCTGGGTCTGCAGCCCAAAGGAGGACAGCCGACTTCCTTTTCCTGAGCCTATATTGGTGTTGGATGGGAGTCTGGTCTGAGAGGACACAGGGTTCTTCTATGGCAGTGCTCCACTGAAGGTGGCAATGGGTAAACACAGGAGAGAATGAAACTCGGAGGGGTCCTGGGGAGGCAAAGAGGACCTTCTCAGTGCAAAGAGATCGCTGTCCCTGGGTTTGTAGCACACAGAGATCTCACATCTGCAGGGGAACAAAAAGAAACCAAGATATAAGTAAGGCATGTGGCTGAGAATCACAGTCCTCAGGTGCAGCAGAAATATCTGCAAACAGGAATCAGTGCTGTCTTTAATAGGACTGGAGTTTGAGTGCTGAGAGTTCAGGTCTTTAAGCTGGCTCAGATTGGGACCTAGAGCAAAGAGTAATTTCTGAAACTCACTAGGGAAAACGAGAACTTTTGCATCCCCCAAGCTCCTTTTCCATTTTGTGCATTGAACTCTCCCACTAGTCCCCTGAGTTGCACAACAAACAAGTTAAGTAAAACACTTCTCTTTGGGGTTATTTAAGAAAGATGTGAAATCTTCTTCCATTGGAGTCAGCATAACCTTGCAGAGTTCTGCTTTCTCCAAGGGAGAAATTAAAATGCTTCCACATTTTTAAGACCTGTGGATCAACTGGCTTGATCTCTTTGTGCTCATGGAAGTGTGTTGTCTACAGTGAGTTTTCAAATTCCATCACCTGGGAGGCCAGCTTGATGCCCTGAGGACATGACTGATGGGTGAACAGTCAAATGAACAATTCTTTCTCTACCCCTGTCTCTCCCATGAAGATCATGGGTTCCTTCTGCAACGGGTATGCCAAAAAGTGGTGGGGAACCCAAATGAGGTTTAGAAGTTGAAGGCTCTGCTCACATGCCCGGTGTTCTTCAAACATCTTATTTATGTTGCATAGCTTTGCTCTGGCTTATGACTGAAAGGGCTGTCTTTACAGAGTCGAACAGTTGACTGGGAGACCATACTTTAGACTGTGGCAGTCATGAAGGTAAACTACTGCTGGGATCTGAGCAGGACCATCCATCCCACCTGAGCTCCACTGCACTACAGAGCTTGGAGCTATGTCACCCAGCTTGGGCATCTGGCATAGATCCACCATGGTGCTCAGGACCTCCTCACCCTGGTGACCACCCACGCTTCACGGACAAGTCCTTCCACACAGGATGCACCATTCCAGAAGCGCTGACTGCCACACTGCAGGTCCTACCTGGTTACACTCTGCAGGATCTTCTGCTCATCCTGGTCCAGGCACACGGCGAAGGAGGACTGGACACCGATAATCTGGACCTTGTCTACTTTTATCTGGGACACACTGATCTGCTGATAGAAAAAGAATCTGAGTGAAGCAGCTGCCAGGCTCAGTGCAGTTCCCTGTGCAGGGAAGGGGAGCAGGGGAGCTGGGCACCCCTAAGGCAGGCCTGGTGGCCAACAGCAAATGGATCCCCCCAGGAGCTACTCTCTCCTGCCCCGCTTCCCTCCCAGCTGAGTCAGGCTGACCTCCTGTTACCAAATGTGAAAGCACCATGATCTGAGTTACCTGATTGAAACTTTTTTTGGATTTGGAGTTTTGCCTTTTGACCACCTCCGTCATGGTTAAGTTGAGACATTCTGTCTTTGAGGCTGTAACAAAAGAAAACTGTTATCACTTGGGGCTTCTGGGCCACTGGTGGGAACTCAAGTGGTCCCTCCACCCCTCAAAGCATCCCAGAGCCAGTGGCTCCAGTAGGACCCCGCCGCTGGGGGAAATGCAGTTCTAGCTTTCCTTCCCTCACGCTAACCCACAGGGAAAGAAAGCAATCAGAGACGCAGAGGTAAACATCCTCTGTAATTTCCAACTGCTTTCCAAACACAGCAGAAAAGGACATTTAATGATCTTCAGACCTAAACAAGAGAAAAAACCGCATTGTCCCATCATGACGAGGAGATTCTAGCTCTCCCAGCATGGCCTTTCCTGCAGTCTACCTGGAGATGGTTTTTCATTTCTGGAATTGCAGTGACATCCTGTGGTCAAACTGCTGAATGTGAAAGGGGACGAGCGAGGGGACCAGGTTTCTCTTGGAAGAAAGGAGATTTGTGAAGAGGTTTCTCCCCAGCGTGGAGCTGAGGACACCCCCTGACGCAAACCCACAGCGCTGGCAGCACAAGTGAAGCTCCTGAACTAGGGCACAAACGTCCAACTCAAAGTCTAGAGGAGGTGAGACATTAACTCCTGCTGGGTTTTTTCCCAGGGTTCGCTGCATGGGTGGTGCAGCAACAGGAGGGATAGGGGGGATACAGGTTGACGGAGCACGTAGGAGATGTCTCCTGTTTGGTAGATTACCTATTTGCCCTGACTACTCCGCTCACAAACCACACATCTGCCAGACACAAAGCACACAAGGAAAGAGGAACTAAAAAAAAAACCAAACCCTCAGTTTACTCAGAACTGGGTGTCTGACTGCCAAAACAGCAAGAATGAACAGTTATCGCTTCTAAATACACACACAGACTAAAAGTCTTGCTGCTTTTTAAACAGCTCAAAGCCTTATTAATACCCCATCGGAAACCTGATTAGAAAAAAAAAATAACTATGAAGCAAAGCCATGGGCAGCCAGCTATCTCTGAGCTGCAGGAAGGAAACCAGGCTGAAGCACCAGCTCAGTGAGAGCCAGCTGAAAGGTAGCTGCACGGCACGGCTGCACGGCACGGCAGGACAAGCACCCTCTCCCTTGGTCCTACTTCATTTAACAACAGTTTTACTTGTCTCTCCTTCTCCTTACTAAATAAGTGTTGCTCTGGGAAGCACCACTCTCCAGTGATCATCTTGCTGCTTGGACTGTCCCAGTCCCATCCCTAATGGGCATCCCATTTCCCTGGCTGGAAGCTTTGGGACAGTGGGACATCAAATGCCCTTTGTTGGTGATGTGGTGCTAAGGACAGCCAAAGATTACAGGATGCCCCAGAGAACACTGGGCACCTCCCATGTATCTCCTGCATTCACAAATCCCTCATTTGCTCCAGCGAGAAGATCCACACTGTCCTCTCGCTCCACCAGTCCCTCCCGTTGTTCCCTATGCAAAGCCACAAAGACCAGCTCTACCCACCTAGTTCCTCATACTTCTTGCAGGCTTTGCTAAGGTTGACAGATGTGCAGACCTTCTCGACATCATTCCAGTGACTTCTTCCACTGATGGCTGTCTGCAGGGATCAATGGAAATCCATGAGATAGAATCATAGAATTATTTAAGTTGGAA